TATGTGAGAAATGCGCCAAATACAGATAGCCAAGGCTCGCATGCCGGATATTGGCTAGTATCTTATAGATTTATAAGGCATTCATTCCGGATATTGGTTAGTATTCTGTTGACTTATGATTTAGAAGATACTACTCAATATCCTGAACAAACTTCGGCTACTCTGCAGCTTGACAACAGAATTTACTTTAGTTATGTATGTTTTTATAATAAAGCAAAGTAAAATTGATTTAATAAACATTACTTTAATATATTTCTATGCTATTTGTAAATTGCTCGATGAGCCGACATCAAAGTAATTTTTCATTAAAATATTTGCATTCTTATGAAATACTTGAAAGCAGCTTTTTGAAACCTAAGCAACTATTTTGGTATTCTTGGTGCTGTTTGTGCTGGAAATAACAAAACAGCAGTTCAAGTGGCGGAACTGCTTTGGTGACACTGTAAAACGACTAAGGTAAACAGGCTCCATTGGGCCGTTAAGCTGGCGAATGAAATGAAAATTGGAGCCCAGTTGCAGAGCTTGATGTCGCTGCTGGCTTGGCTTATTATGCGCGTTCGGGTGTTGTTGTCGTGTCGAGCTTGTAAATCACACTACTTCCGACGCGTCGGGTGCTCATATTTACACTTATACACTCGCCTACAAGTAAACGCACACAGCCGACAGTCAGACAGGCAATTGGGCAGACAGACAACAGAGGCGTGCTGCCGTGGGCAACAGTTCCAACAGAAGCTGCTGTTGTTGTTGCTGCTGTTGTTGTTGCTGCTGTTATTCTCCTTGTTATTGTTTTGTTTTTGTCATTGTTGTTGGGTGCACAGGTTTTGCGACTTGCTTTTTGCGCAATATTATTGTAGTCGACTTTGTTGCGTTGCTCGCTTGGCCGACGCCATCGGGCAATTTGTGTGTGCGTAAGTGTTAGAGTCCGTTTTTATTCAGTGTGTGTGTGTGTGGGTGTGGGTATGCGTTTAATCAACGCATTGTACCATTTAACTTTACAAGCAAAACCTAAGCGCCCACTTCAATTCAAAGCAACATCCTGCGGCGTGTTGCTTTTGTGCCCGTTTTCTGTCTCTTGCTTATCTCGTATACGTACTTGCCTGCCTTATCGGGAGCAGTTTAATAACAATCCGGCCACATAAAAATACTTGAAAGTGCTCCTTAAAAATGTATGACATTTCACATCTCGTTTTCTTCGGAACTGTTGCTAAAAATTTATCCGAAAAACAACAAAGTCTTTCAACGGCTTGCTTTCGATTCATTCGGCATATACATTTAAAAATAAAATAAAAATAAAAAAAATTTTTGATATCTAACTTTTTGGGTGTTAAGATACAACGAAAAGGAAAATACTTTATTCTTTCTTTCATGCTACCTACCTTTAAGGTTATTAATTATTAATTGTATTGCCCCATACAGAGATGTTCTAATAAATATCTATGTAGCCGCGAGAAACCAAAGAAGGCTTGAGCTTCTACCACTAAATCTAATTTGTTTACAGATTGAAGGATTTTTTATCATTTATTTTCGTAAAAGAAATTAATAAAACCTATTCGAAAGCAATAAACAAATCTTTAAATTTTAAAATTTTATTTAAAAAAGACGGTCTTAAGCATTTTTATTGCCATGCTTTGGCTCGTCTTCTCAATTTCATTTCGTTCTGTAAGAATTACCAGACGCTTAAAAGCTGCTTTAAAATTTCATATAGAAATAAAACACATACTTTAAGGGCGACCCTCTCTTGCTGTTCCATGACATTTGTTGTTCACTTTTTATTGGCAATTAAACGCTGCAGCTGCTGTTTTAGCTCTCGTCTCTGGAATCCAACTTTTCTAATTCTATTACACATTCACTCACAAAATGCTGTGTCGTATATGAAACAGATTTGGCTTAAACTCTGCACATTGCTAACTGTTTTAATTGCAAAATAGTTAAAAATATAAATTTAATTACCAACATGCAATGCCATCAAGTGTAACTTTACATGCATTTTGGGGGTATTTAACTTGGCTACTTCAATTATTTTTAATTTGGCATCGATTGCTGATGGCATTTACATGTTGTCAAAAGAAAAAACGAATTCAGCAAATTAAAAGCAACTGCAATACACTGCTCGACTATGCGTTGCCCTGTTTTAAGTTTTAAGTATATTTTCAAGCTTTATAGTAAGTGTTACTCCCAGTAGATGCTTATTGTTATCTCCTAGGTGAATATATGACAAAGTTGAAGTGATTGAGTGTGTTGCAACTTAAGCCCAAGCGTTGAACCTTATAGCTTTATGTGATTCGTGTGTCTATGAAATATTTATTTAATTTAAATATTAATTAAAAGTCCTTGACTTAAATGGTGCGAAGAACCTAAACAGCTTATGCTATGACAAGGTTGTCAAGTTCTTATTATCAATGACAAAAGGTAGAGCAGCAAGATAGCCGACGAAATACTAATTTTTCATCATTAATAATGTGACTGAATATCAGCTATAAAATTATAATATATAAAAAATAATATGAAATATGCAATATCATAAAAATACCGTTTATTGTGCCCTTTGCGTGTCAAAGTATTGATAACAGCCGCTTAGCACACGCAGTGTGTGCAGGGTATAATAATGGTGTTGTGTCTGGCATCATTTAAAATCTGCTCATTTAATGGATATGTGTCTGTCAGCCCATGAAACAGAAAAGTATTTAATGTATTTTGTTTTTAATCTTAAGTGCCTGTATAAGGCACACGATGGTTTAATAATCAAGGGAGTGAATCTCTAAAGCTGTGTGCGCCAATTAACTTTGCTTATGGCAGATGCATGCGTAATCCTCAAATATCTCAGCCATTAGCATTTATTATGATGTATAAAAGCTTTTATATTGTTAGCCGACTTAGTTGAATATATATTGCCAGGCAATAAATTGTGGCCTGCTCTTATTGCCTGCATGCAGAGCAACGATATGAAGTCGTCGCTGAAGATGCCATTGGGCATACTCTGAGCTGGTCAATTACTCCTTTGGACGTAATTATATAATTATGCACTTGACTCGAGCATTGTGAAAGCGGCAATTGTTGGCTCAAGATGCCTGTGTTAATATTGAAATTGAAATTATGCTTATGAAATATTCAAATCAAATTCCATTTAGCATGTTCGCCAACTCAACAGATCATAATGATTTAATATTCAATATTGTGGAATTCAATGAGTCCTCCTATGCTCATATCGTCCACTTAAAGCTGGTACTTTTGGCGCTTGAATGGAATAGCTGAAACACAGTTTGTGATTAATTGAACTTAATTAAGGAGCCTCGTAGACATACAAAGTGCTCACTTGAACTATACGATGTCCATTTTTTGTTTATGCCCTCAATATAGGTACAATGCCGATCGAATCGTGTAAGAAATGCTAAGATTTTAAGCTAATTAGCCGCTTTTAAGCCGCTTAAAATATGTATTAACAAAAACCTGAAATTAATTTAATAAAATCGTAAGCCGCTGCCTACTCGCCGCCTACCTGTTCGCCTTTCAGCTGGCAGCAAGTTAAATATACTTTTGCAGCAACAGCGCTTTTATGTTGAAATTAATTAATTGCATATGTCAGCGGTTTTGAGGCTGGCTTTTAGCAACCTCATTTGCATTTTCGTTGCTTATGTTGTGTGCGAGCATTTCTGTGGCAAATAAATGTTTCGCATACGCCGCGTGGGCTCAACGCCAACAGAAAGCGCTAAATGGAACGTTTAAGCGAAGACAACTTTGAATACTCTGCAAGTTGCAAAGAGTCTAACTTTTGCACTTAAGAAGCGAACTTTCATTCGCATTTGGATGAACTTCCCTTATATATTCTAGGGGTAAAATAAATAAAAAATGAATTCTTTAATATGATTTCATGCATATGCTACCCGGCGGGATGCTCAGTGTGGATAGCAAAACCTGAAATTATCGCAATGTGCTATGAGCCTTTAATGAAAAATATTACGCCCTCGTCTGGTGCTGAAAACGCAAGAATCATTATTCACTGGGCTTGTCTGGTATGCATATTAATGCCATCGAGTGGTCATTGCAGGTTAGTCTAGGAATTCGGAATCCTTGAGCTTTCAAATGTTTTTGGCATTTTAATTGCATTTTTTTGGATTGGTATTTCATATCGGGTTGTCGAAAAAGGACTCACATCGATCCACATGTTGCCAAAATACTCTGTTCTGGCTTGCAATCGAATTAAATTTAAGCAGGCACAACATAGGCCAGCTAGCCAAGGGCGATGATGAGCCAAATGCAAATCCATTGCCCAAATGCCAAGCACACAGAGAAGACAACTAGCCCACTTGCCACAAAACCCCAAAGCAAAGTCGCTCTGACAGGCATATATATTCCAACTAGTAGTACAAATGAATTATAGAATAGCCCAGAAATGTATCATTTAAAACGTGATGAAACAGCGGCACAAGATTGTCGATTTTAATTATGAATAATGCGGCTTAGTGCGTCTTGTGGCCTATGTCTTGGCCCCGGCAAAGTGATTCGCTCCTGGGCAACCGCATGTGCCAAATGATTGATAGTTGCTGTGTGGGCCAAGTCAACAGTAGAAACAACAGCATGCATGTGGAGCACAGACCACAAGCCACAGGGTTCGAGCTGTCAAAGAATTTGCCCTGCACGCCGGGGCCAGAGTCGAGGCAGACACAGACACGACGTAATTGAAAATTGGACGCATGCGAAAACTAATGTCTGGAGTTTAATTAGTGTAAAATGTTTCATTCTGCAGCAGTTCGTGTCATGCACAGAATTTATATATTTAATTAGCTTAGCGTAAGCACAAGTCAAAGCCTTTGATGTTAATTAAAAGTTGTCGTAGCCCCGTGCTCTCGTTATGCTTCAGAATTCGCGTTGCTTTATGTTTTATGTGGCAACTTAAACGCCACGTAATTAGAAGCGAAAGGATAATATGTTGGCAGCTGCTGCCAATTGAGAGATCTTCATGGTTCTATTTTGATCACATAAATTTCATTTTCTTATTGCAGCTGACATCGTACTACAATGAAACGAGCTGGACTAACGCTTCTGAAATGGATACAATAGTTGGTGAGGAACCGGAACAGCTCTCACTTGTGTCAATTGTAGTTGTTGGTAAAGTAAATGTCGTTGAACGTGTAACCAGCGAAACAGACACCAGCATCGCCACCCACACCATCCGCACCACTCGTAGCATCACCACATGTTCGCACACTTGTCCACTTTTCACAGTATACAGACAGCAAAATATTTGCTCTTCAATTAGTGCAGAGAAACGCATGTGGCTTATTGTACAAACACACACGTATACACATATACATGTATACTCGTATAGGCACACGCACACGCACACGCCTACGCCCACGCAAACATGCTTGTCATTGGCTCGACCCCCATAAGTATGCTATGTTTATGAATGTTCACGTTTCTTCCTTCCAATACATATACATTTAATCTGGCACTCTCTATCCCGCCGTAGGCATCTTTTTATCGGTGCTGATATTCCTCTCGGTCGCCGGCAACATTCTCGTCTGCCTGGCCATCTATACGGAGCGCAGCCTGCGCCGCATTGGCAATCTGTTTCTGGCCTCATTAGCGATTGCGGATCTCTTTGTGGCCTCTCTGGTGATGACATTCGCGGGCGTCAACGATTTGCTGGGTAAGTATGAATATCATACGCAGACAGTTGAGCACAAAATTTGCAATTGAAATTGTCGAGCAATAAATTTATGTAAAATGCTGCAGGCTGTCGCACAAACAAACGCCACGACAATATGCAAAAGCGAAGCATGCTTCGATGGGGCTAATGGAAATATAGTTAGTTGGGTAGAAGAGGCGCTCATACGAGCTCACTTGACATGCCTGGCAGCGCTTAAAGCGGGTTCCTTGTACGGCTTGATAAGAGGCATTCTTAAAGTGACGGCTGCTCGGGCGAGTCGGTTGAGTGGTCGCAAAGCACATCGAGTATTAGCCTGTCTTCCACTGAGTGCACAATGCACTTTCGCTCGGCAAAAAGGTGAAGCTACCCAGCCAACACGAATGTTTATTTCATGTGTTTCATATGCAGGCCGAGTTTCATTGCTCTCAGCCAACACAGAAAATGCACCTGCTGCCATAAATACATCCAGCAGGAATTATTATTGGCCATAACTGTGGAGCTGAAGAGATGCGCAGCTGTAGAATTTTTCGACGTTGACATAGCTATAAAACCGTCCAAGTAGTTGGCATTGACGTCAGGACTCAGCAGCAGCAGTTGGCCATTTGAGAACGAAGTATGAAAAGCGCCAGCTGAAAATTAAAAGTACAAATGCTAAGTAAGCAGCAGTCAAATCACTTTGAAGACCTGCTACTTGCCGGTAGCTATAATTGCCCATATAAGCGAAATGTTCCGCATGCAGCTGACATCAATGCTTGTTCAGTATTTATTCAATGGGGAGGGCAAAACACCAACAGCAAATGTAAATAAAAAAAGAAAAATGGGAAGCAGCTGGCCAGGCCAGGCATCTTGAAGGAAATGTGCTGAGGTCTAGTGATGCGTTACCTCGGTAACAGCGCTGACAGGAACAGGCAGACAGGCTGCCTTCGATGTGTGCTCCATATATGTGGCTCGATGTATGTGTGTCATTCCGTTTGTCTGCCTGTGCGTGAAAATAATAAACGACTTTGCTACTTCGAGATGGATCCAGAGCTTGATTCCGAATCCAGGCGGCGCTCCTGCTGCTGCTGCGTAAGCACAAAGTGTGAAAAAATAAATAAAATCGCTCTGGCTGCAGAGTGTTAAAGACAAACAGCATCTGGAGTGCCAGCAGAGGTGCCTAAGGGCCAGCATATATGCCGAAGTACACATGTGAATCGAGAGTTGTTGAACCAAATTATTTTCGACAAAGTGCCGGCAAACATGAACCTGTGTTGGTGCCAGTAAAACAACATTTGGCATACTCCAGCCCTGGCAAATCAGCAAATAAGCGCACAAACTCCAGCATATTTATACAAATTTGAGCAACAACACAGGCCACAGGGACTCTGCGAGGTGGCAACAGCTGCGCCAGCTCAAAAATACACACGCCAAGTCATTGAAGATGTGTGTATATACATATATATATATATATATATATATATATATACATGTATATATATAGTGCTATACCAGATTGCGCATAACCAATAAGTATTTATAAATATGTATGGCTCTGCAGTATACTTTGCAGTAGTACTTTGAATGAATATCTTGACGATTCTTCGCTCTTCGCACAATGACATTGTCAAGCATATAACTCTGTATAGTACTTACTGGCTGGGCCAGCATTACTGTCTCTCTTTTATATGCAGCTTTCAAGCATATGGAACTGTGGAAATAAGTTTGCACATCGTCGTCCATTCAATATATTTTATAACCTGAAAGGAATATAATTCTAATTGGCTTACTGCGCGAGATTTACGTTTAGTAGATGGATTAATCAGTAAAATTATAGTGAGCAGACTTTATGAATGGATAGAAGCAATAAACTTTAGTTTCGTCAAACTTTCGGGCAGCTGTTTTTACTGTTGCACGAAATGAGCTTTACTTTTGTGTAGTAAAATATTAAAAAGTAACGATGGATTAATGGCTGTAGTCGGAGTTATGGGCAACGACACAGTCAGAAAGAGAAATCATGACGTAATCGATATCTTGCGTTCACTGCAGTGAGCGACGGCAGATAATCGCTTAAGATGAGCAAAGCTCTTTTTGCTGATACACCACATCCTGTGCGCTAAAGAGCTATATCCTGTGACATGGCTGATGTGGCATAAAAGCGAACATAAGCATAGGCATGATGTATGTCTTCCATCAGATAGCATGGAATCAGCGCCCACACACGCATCGTAAATAAATATGTTTGGCTTTGAGATCTGATATTAAATTTATCATAGCAACACATTCAACATATATTTTTTGCGTGCGACGCTGATTTCCTTCACGCGCTCAGTGGACACAGCACCGGACATCCGCACGGGTTATGGGTTCAGAGCACGTATATTCCTTCGATGGGCTTTTTCGGAGTCCTTTCCTGTAATTGCAATGCATTTACGGAAATGCTATCAAAAAGGGATCGCTGTATCGTCAGCTAAAATCAAATGTGAATAACGCATGAGACATACTTTTGCAGACAGCAATCCGAAGTCTGCAGCGAAAAAGGAAACGGAAATTAATTTATGAAATCGTTTAAACTCAATTTACGTTATGAATAAGTAAACAGAAGCACTCATGTTAGCACGAGCACTCCAGCTGTGAAAGCATGATCGAAAGCCAGATACCATATACTATGTCGAGAGCAATTTGACTTGATTGAGTTTATGAAATTGTTTTAAGCTTTAACTAGTGCCAGTTACGAAGTGCAAGTGAGCTGCATTCCATGCGGCAATCCGCTATGTATTTCCTTTAAGCTGAAAGCTGGAAAAGCATTTTAAAACTTTCTCTTCCCAGAAGACTGCGGCTTATATGAAGAGGTTTCATTTCCCCATGTTTGTTAAACTGCCTGATGTAAGCTTGCCATAAATAAGACAAGATTTTAATAAACATATTTTCTCACATAACGCAAAGCACTTATGTCTGCTGACCATACCCATTTGTGGTAGCTTGATTGAGGAGCTTTGACATTTATATGGCTCTGTGGTCTTCTTTTGCTCGTTACATCGTCTGCTGGTTGTCGGGTAAATTAAGAATTTTCCTGCGACTCCTGTCGGCCGGAACGTGGCAATTTCCGCTCCAGCTCATGCATAGTCACTTAAATTGCATTTGTACAGTGACTCGGTCTTATTCAAGAAGTTATTAAGTATTTTAAACAAGCAATCAGGACGACAGTTATTCAATCATACGCCAATCAATCAATTATTCAATCAATAATTTATCTTTTACTTCTTTGATTACAGGCTATTGGATCTTTGGCGCCGAGTTTTGTGATACGTGGGTGGCCTTTGATGTCATGTGCTCGACAGCATCCATTTTGAATCTGTGCGCCATATCCATGGACCGTTACATACACATCAAGGATCCACTCAGGTGAGGGCCGTAACTAATCATGACGACAATAACTTTGATGACACTGTCACATGCATGAATTACACAATTTATCAATAGCTCCAACTGGCTGTCATCGCGCCCTTCACATGAGCCTAACCAAAATTAATTGTGCATGGAGTGTCTCGGTCAGTAGAATCTAAAATATGAGTGGAGTACACTAGAGTAAAGCAGAGCGTGAACCCTATTTAGTTTAGCATTGACTCTCAGTTTTATACATAGCTGTTGTTGTCTGTCAGCAAATGAGTGGAAAATATTATTGATGTGACATTGACGCTCTCGATGGATGCCCGATTAAATATCGATTTATTAAAAACAGACCTGCCAACCGATATAAGTAACGCTCCTATCCCCTCAACTTGCCTCCAGTCCATTAACTTGCAGAAAAGCAACATCCTGTCTCATGCATATTACTCATCCGCCACGTTGTCATGCACGTCACGTTCCTCATTGCCAGCGTTTTGGTCGTTCATTTTGTGGCTCCACAGGCACTCGACTTGTTTATGGCGCCATCTCTCATTAATCGCAGCACATAATTGTTTCATTAGTAACAGATTTATTGGGGATTAACGATATTTTCTTCTCATTTTTTTGCCGACTTCCCGGACCTGGCTCTGACTTCATTTTTTGCCATTGCGTGCAAAACTTTGCTAAGCACTTTTGCTGCATCACAGACACTGACTTGTTGGCTTAGTTGGCAAAGTATTAGCTTAGTCTATACTTAAATTTATTCAGCAAGTCATTCTGCTTAAAGTCGCTCGACTGTAATTTCCAGTAATAAATTAACGATTGTCAATTATTTGTGTTAAAATTTGTTGATTTTAAGACAAATCTGATTAGAACTTGTAGTTCTGCACGGTCACTTGATTCAAATTGAAAAGCAAACAATAGCAAATTCCAAGCTGTGTATGTGGCAAGAGCTCTGAAATAATTTACCACTCAATTTTAATGTGCTTCTTCTAGCACAGGCAATAAAGAATTCCGGCCATTAGGACTGCTCGACGACCATTATTTCTTAAAGTCGCACGAAATTCACCTGCTTCCAATTTAATTTCACACACTAGTAGACAAGCATGTGTGTGTGGTGTGAGTGTGCAAAGGCAATGAAATTGTGCCAACTACTCAGTTTAACATCTGCCAGCCCCTGTGGCTGGGCATGACATAATGTCTTATTTGGGCGCTTCTACTGCATTTTGTCAGTTTTGTCGTCTGCGGGCACTATGCAAGTTGCGTGTCAGATTGCTTTGCGACAGCCGAGATTCTGGCTCTGCAATCCGAATTGACTATCAGAGAAGGTAACAGGCACAAGGGACAATACGCCAAGTGGAAACAACTATATCAGCGTTTCGTTTGTGTCTCGCCTTGTGGCTTAACAATTGTGAGTTAATTAAATTTTGTTTGGCAATGCTGCAACCACAAAAAAGAAACCAACAAATTCAGGAAGCCAAACAATTTTTGGACAAAATCAAACGAAAATTTATGACATGTCAGCAACATGTCGTCAAACAGTGAGCAATAGATTGTTCACACACACGAACACAAGCTATATTACTATATCAGAGTGTGTGTGTGGATCTTGTTAAAAATGATGCTGGCCAAGTATCTGACAGCCAAAGAAAAATTCACAGCAGCTACAGAAATGAAATTTATGTGCCTCAATGGCTGCGAAGGGCCTGGTCATGGGGAAGCCAGCGGCGAGCGATTTCAGGCAGTAGTATTTACAAAGGAAGAAGAAAAAGAAAATATAACGAAGCTACTGTACACATATGACAACGAGACACTTCTGGCTGTGAGTGTCATGCTAGCAGCTGCTGTTGCAAATAGCCGTAATAAATGCTTTGATGCTATTTTCAGTGCAAGCCAAAAGTGGAAAAATATTTTCTACTCAACACGCAGCATACCCCTTGGCTTGCTGTCCGTCAACTCTCTATTTATGTGCACGGTTTCTAGGTTACTGTTACCTGTCGCACCTGCCAGGTCCAGTTAGAAACTTTATTTGTTTATTAAAAATGTTACAGAATTTTTTCTACTGAAGCTCCAACCACTGCAGCGCTTTATAAATTAAGTCATGATATTTTTTGTTTATTGCCAAGACTGTTTGAACATAATGAGCTGATGCTGGAGCAGCACACTTCATGGAGTTGCCAAAGTTGACGTGCTCGTAAATTTTGCGAACTGAGGTAGCAAAAATATTTGAATGCGAAAAGTTTGCTTGCACTTTTTAATTCACAGCTGCCACAGTAGCCAAAAAGTTTTTTATATTAAGTGAAAATTCATGAAGTTATCAGTTGGAAGTAACTGCCACTTCAGCATAATTGACTTGGGTTGGCCGCAACATCATTGTATTTCGTATTTTCCATTGTAGATTAGCTCGATAATCAACCATTCCTTCCCAAGAAATAATTTCATTGGCAATGCTTATAAAACTTAATATTATTTTAAATTATCTCAGAGCGTTAGCGTAGGCGCTAACAAAAGCATTGGGTACTTTACTGCAAGTTTGCGTGCGTCCTGTGGTTCAATTTGAATACATTCAAATTGAGTTTGGCTTCTGCCCTACACAGTGCTGGACGTGCAATGCTTGTGAGCCCCAAGTGTGTCTGCGCCCGTACTTAAAGCGTCGAGCTTCTGGCCTAGCACTCCTACGAGTATACCACGCCCAGTCTCTTATGAATCTCACAGGCATCAAAATTCTCATTCCAACACACTTTACACTATTTTCCTTGTATACCCTGTATACCCTTACAACAATGTCATATTGTAAATAATATATTGCATATAATTCTTAAAGTAGCATAACTAATATGAACTTGGAAATATAATGGAATTGAATGGAAATAGAAAAGGAAATGGAAGGAGATTTCTCACAAGCTTTGCAAATCTGTTGTATCTTTCTTGCAGGCAAGATATTCGATTTAAATCTTATATATATATTCATATCTTATGCAAGAATAAGTCAAGGAATGCAGTGTCTATATGTCTTGGCTCAATAAATATACCTTAAACATTTGTTGAGCAAGCACTCGAAATATTTACTCTAATTTCGAGCAAACACAATGAGTCTGAAATGAAAGCATTTCCATGTAGAATCGTTTTGAGAGTATTTAATCTTCGTCTGAAGATAGATTATAATAAAAAAAAGAAGCTCACGGATGATGGTGTCAGAGTCTGGTTCTGAATGCTGCGTGTCTAGCGGTATTACTGCCGGCCCTGCCAGAACGTTGGCAGCGGGTACGGCGTTGGCTGGATGGCGTTGCTCTTTATGCAAATCTGATTTATTTGCATGTCAAAGTAGGGACAGCATTTGTGTTCGTCAGTTTTTCCTGCCGTTGCGCGACGTGTCAAAGTTCGCGAACTGTTTTGGGCTGGCGTCTCATTAGGGTGCCCACCTCTGACGCTGAGAAATTTGTCGTATTTTCCCAGCGTCTTAGAATAATTGCAAGCGTTTAATTTAATTGCGCCTGCCAAGATTTGTGCACTGCCAGCGAAAATTGGCGAAAAAAGAAATAATTTGAATGAAAAGCGCGTGGAAATCTAATTAGAAGCAGGCGCTGACAAAGTTAAAATTATGCCGGAATTAAGGCACAATTTTTTGTTTTATGCGATAAAGTTGAATCTGGTGGCGCCTGTCATCATCGTAACTGTCAGACGCAGAGCAAACATAACATATGTGTGCATGCTCGTATCATGCATAAAATTCACTTTAAACTGCAATAAAAAGCGACGCAAACTTTTTATGTCATCCACATTGAGGAGGGGAGAGTGAGAAAGAGTGGGAAAGGGGGTGAGGGAAGGAGGGGAGAGACGGCCCCAAATAGGTGTTATATGCATGCGTGAGCGAGAGGTATAACAGTTAAGCGACAAAAGCCAACGAGAATGTCGCTTTGGGGAATGTTTGTAATTGTGTTTTTTGGCCTGGTTGGGTTTGGGTAACAACACTGTCATATGCCTGCAACACTTGAGCGCAACAACAGCACTGGCAGCAGCATCGTGTGCTTGCAATATTCAAGCACTCACTGCGCTCATAAAACCACATTTGACAAGAGGCAAACAAAATAAACGCCAGAGTTAGTCGAGCTATGCAACCCCAACCCACACACGTCGTCGCATTGTGCGTGCCTGACTCTAATTTCTTAAGTGCGTGCGACATACACACACCCACACACACGCACACAGGGGCAACATTAAATGCAAATGCGGGCTGACTTCGGTCTGGTGCTGTGGCCCACACAGAGAGTCACACGATTTCAATTAGCTCTTTGGGGTATGATTGGTTGCTCTATCAATGGACGCGTGTGGCGCCACTTGGCACTTGCATAGCAGAGTCTCTGGAGTGATACGGGTGTCAGGTATTTGCACTTACAATCGGCGTCTATGCCAGTTCCTGTGGCTCAAAAGACTGAACGGGCTACTGGGCTTGGGTGGCAACTAAATGGCTACCGGTGCGGGCTGATGTCGTTGCTGCTAGAATAGAAATCAATTTTGCTGCCACATGAAATCGAATTTGTTTGTGAATACAATTACCAAAACTTCCTTTTCCGTTTGTTGTCCTGCCACCCTCCCAGCTACTGCAGGCGCTCTTGTCATCTTTAGTATTTTCAGTCGGCACGTTGACTGAGTGCGTCTTTGAATTGAAATTGAATTATTTTGTTTGATTTCCTGGCCGTGTCTACCGCACAGCCAGCGGTTACATTTACACAAGCCAAAATGCGGCAGCATATGCCAATGTGTACACACACACACACACGCACACCCTCACAACCACAGTGGGCATAAAATGCCAACAGCCTTACATTGCTGCCTGCTCATTTCCGTTGCTGTAAATGTAAATTGTGCGTCCGCTGTCAGCGTCGAAGTGGCACAAAAATCCATACACGATGATTTGCATATGTATATCGCCGAGGTAGACCTATCCCTACGTTGCCTTTAGAGAATGCGTAATGTTCAATGGTTTGTGCTGTGGTTGGGTTTCGGCTTAGGCTGATTTGGCGCTGCCCTTTCTGTTCGGGTAATTAATGACATGCAGGCAGGCCGCAGTGACCATTACACGAATGTTCCATGCACACCTTTGGCCAGCTGAATTTCCACCACTGCACCGCAACAGTTGTCGCACTCTGCCCGAAATTGATGTCGCCCCAACTGCCTTCAGCAAACAAAGCCGCAATCATAATGTGGAGCTTTTTCTTCTGATTGTTGCTGTTGCTGCTGCTGCTGCTGCTGCTGCTGTCACCATGAACAACTCTTGCTCTTGTTGTTTTACCATTTTACTGCAGGCAACCGCAGGGGACAATCACAAGCACTTCCTTTACTCCAAATTGATGTGCTCCTCTTTCCACTTTGTGACTTTCATTACAGATACGGCCGTTGGGTGACACGCCGGGTGGCTGTTATAACCATTGCAGCTATTTGGCTGTTGGCCGCTTTCGTCTCGTTTGTGCCCATCTCGCTGGGGATCCATCGACCCGACCAGCCGCTGATTTTTGAGGATAATGGCAAAAAGTATCCCACATGCGCACTGGACCTGACACCCACGTATGCCGTTGTCTCCAGCTGTATCAGTTTCTACTTTCCGTGCGTGGTCATGATTGGCATCTACTGTCGGTGAGTATGGGAAAATAAGTACCGTCATAAAACTCTCTGAAACATGGCCCAAAACTTGCTGCGGCACAATTATTCAGCGCTAAAATGCGACAGTGAAAACAAAAAGAAAAGCTACAAAAGTAAATGTAATGCGAAAACTTTGAAATGGAAACGGTCGGCACAGCAATGCATAGATATCTGTAGAGCCAACAGCTCTAAATAGAGCTTATTTATTATATATGCGTACTTATAATTTTATCTGTTCTACATTTGCATTAAGCCACGTCGACTTCTGTTAGCCTTTTTTATTTATTTTTTTTTCTATCTAGCTCAAGATCTTTTCGCACTTCTGCGATAATAATTAAATAAATAGCAAAGCTACTTGATAAAAACAAGCTGATAGAATTTATTGAAGCTAGCTTATAAATAATTAATTAGGCGAATTAGCCTCACAAGTTTGTTGGGAACAAGGTCAAGTCCGATTTGGCCAACAATTAAATATGGCTCGAGGAAAACTAATAACATTTTGAATATTTTTATAGGCTGCGCAAAGTTGTAAGACGTAAATAATAAAATAATGGCGAACACTTTTGAAATTACTTTCGTAATGCTGAAAGGCCGCAAGGACCTCGACCCTCATGTGGCCTAGACACGAGATCGGCTGCATTGGGATAAGTGTGGGCTAGGAGTTGGTTGAAACAAGCAAATAAGGCAAACAAATAAGCAAACGCATTAGTGTCCGGCTAAGTAATCCCTTAGCTAAGCCAAAGGCGGACCAAGAACATGGGCGTGTGCGAAAAGGGCTAGACAATGCGTGTAAGGACGGCCACAGGATGCCAACATCAACATCGCAAGCAACAACAAAAGCATTGCGATATGGCCGCTCATCAGCAAAATAGCCGACGGCGAAAGGCACGTTGCCATTTTAGCTTAACGAGATTTGCGGCCAATGGGCTAGGCAGCAAATGGAGACAAGCTGTTCCCTCGTCGGGGTGGGGCTCAAGGCATCTACTAAAGTATCTAGTGGCTGTCATTGGAATGTTCTATCAAATTTCGGTTGAATTACAGAATAAATGGACTTTTATCGTCATAATTTGTACGTAGCCATGTTATCCTTTTCATGTGGCCATCCGGACCATATGCTCACTGAACGACCCACCAAGAACGTGCCCTGTGGTATGGGAAATACGCTGAATATTAAGTATACGCACTGTATGACCCAGACAGTTGTCGATTGTGTACGGCCCACCCAGTGGGAGTTCCCTGGGGCAGGCCGATAATTGGCATGGCTGGAAAAGTAAATAATTATCATATCACTTACAACAATAGGAACCACTCAGGTCAACAACTAGGCAGTCACTAATCGAATTCCCTTTCACTGCAATTACATGGAGCGGATAGCATTTCATTTTGAAAAGTTTCGTTAGGTAAACGTTGCCTAAGGCCAATCAAATCAATTTCCAATAGATTTGACACCAAGAGGAGCAATTAAATTGAAGCTAAGTAAAAAGCTGACTTATGTCTATAAAGTGGAAGATTAGCTTTGAGCAGTTTCAAAAATTTCTATAAATTAATTTGATTGACCTAATTTAATTTCAGTTTATATTAGATTAACTTATTATGTATACAACTTAATTACCTGAATCCTGGTGCTCTTCACTTCTCAGGCTTTATTGCTATGCTCAGAAACATGTGAAGTCTATTAAGGCGGTGACAAGACCTGGCGAGGTGGCCGAGAAGCAACGATACAAGAGCATACGTCGGCCCAAGAACCAGCCGAAGAAATTTAAGGTGCGCAATCTGCACCACAGTTCGCCATATCACGTATCCGATCACAAGGCAGCCGTAACAGTGGGCGTTATAATGGGCGTTTTCCTAATTTGCTGGGTGCCATTCTTCTGTGTCAACATTACAGCTGCCTTCTGTAAGACCTGCATTGGCGGCCAAACATTCAAGATACTCACCTGGCTGGGCTACTCGAACTCCGCTTTCAATCCAATCATCTACTCGATTTTCAACAAGGAGTTCAGGGATGCGTTCAAGCGCATACTGACCATGCGCAATCCATGGTGCTGCGCCCAGGACGTGGGCAATATACATCCACGAAATAGCGATCGATTCATTACAGACTATGCCGCCAAGAATGTGGTGGTTATGAATTCGGGCCGCTCCAGTGCCGAATTGGAGCAGGTGTCTGCGATTTGACCAAAACGCACCGGCAATGCAACCAGTTGGCTCTTGTGCAGTGGCTGCTGCACCGGAAGTGGCTTGAATGTGGACGATGACGACGATGGCGCTTTGACCACAAGATACGTTCCATGAGATTCGGTCGCGGCGGCCACAACAACCATCGTGGAGACCGTGGAGGCCGCACATATGGAAACGGAGCTTGTCTAAAATTGGTCAGCAATTGGGTTCCTACTCGCATCTATCAGTGCGTAACAATCCCAGCCCAAAGCACGATTACCGAAATCCCAAAGCAAATAAAGAGCCTGTAAGTATTATCAGTGTATCCCAGTATCCTAAGCAATGTACTAACAAGCCGTAATTTGTAACAGTGTTTATACTTAATCGTATCTCTAAGTTACAACTTCATAGATGTATGAGACAACTTACTAATTAGCAACCGAGTCGTGATTAGGTCTAAGATCCCACACACACCAAAGAGCTTCTAAATACGAGTAGTTGACCCGTTAGGTTTTTGTTACGATTTAGCCAAGCTAGGGCAACAATCAATAACCGTTAACAACAATGAAACACAATTTGCATGTGGTCAAAAGTTCGAATGGATAACGTTTACCATTGTAATATCTTAACAAGGAACTGAAGTTATGATTATTATGACTAAGCCAAATAAGGGCGCATGTCAAATATCTTTCACAATCGGACAATATACAAACACCCACACAGAGACGTGGATTGGCAGAGTTTTATTCAAGACTGGCAACAAATTCAGCGACCGCTCGCATTGCCCACATACGGAGAGCAAACAAAGCATTTGATTTGAATTATTGCTGGGAATTTATTTGCCATTGAGCAGCGGCCAAGTGGTACCCGTTGAACATTCAGCGTGCCAACCCCACGCATAAATCAGTCAAAAAATGATGTCGATTTGGGAGCATTATAAGTAAAATGTTGAAGTCCCCAAAGTTTACTATTCAGCTTATGTTAGTGTCGAATTGCGCAATCTGATTTATATTTATGCAAATTTATTGCTTCATTCATTTGCGCTGTCAGGCTGCAAGGCTCCAGTTGAACATAAACTAATATTCATTTAACAAGGACAAACTCTGCTCCAATTCAAATGTCAGATTTCCGGTAAAAAGAGCTACAATCATTTAATATGAGCTGACTTGGAACTTTAATTGGCCTTCAACTGTGATTGACAGGCGCGAAATTGAGGCGTAATAAAAAAGTCGAGTTGCTCAAAGGTTAGGGAGCGCATTGGTCCCTGATTACCGAATGATTTAATGAGCCGCACCTGAAGCGCCGCAATGCGGATTCGCTTTGTTGACGGCGATAACACCTCGACTGCTCAACGACTCCCACCCCCGTGTCTGCCTGTCAGCCAGCAGATAATGAACATGTGGCCCTGCTGGCTACGGCTACCCAGCTTGCTGCCATTCGCTGAGCTGAAGGGGAAACAAATGTAAACAGTTTGCATTTCATGCCAAGACAACACCAACTTCTCTCCATCCGTAGTCATATAATGAAAAATTACGCTGCCTTAGCTTCTCTTCTTTCTTCTTGCTTCTTTGTTTTGCTTTCGGTCTGAGGCTTCAGACACATTTTCACTTAAGTATTTGTGTATGCTGAAATCCCTTGCGGCGCCCTTCAGCCATCTCCTTACCGCAACTCAACTCTTTGCTCTGTTAATTATGTGTAGTCCCTGACAATCCGCTCAAATATTCGCAATCAATCTTTTTATACCCATTGAAATTACCCAGTCGAGTATAATCGTTGAGCTTATCATTTTGTTCACAAATGGACGTTTTTAAAGCCTTAATTTCACGTATCTTGATTAGAATCATAAACTCTTCAATTTCAGACCATTTTCGGCTTCGATCTGTATTTAAATTAAAATTTTAAATTCTCTTAGCATTTATTTTAAATGATATCCTTAACTATAGATTTAATAGCAATTTAACTTTTATTGTTGTTTTATTTTAAAAAGTCTTCTGAACAAATACTCAAATATTATTCCTAAGCATTCCAACTTTTTACTAGGGTATCTTCTAGTTGTGCACTCTAAGCTAAAATATTTTTATTCATTTTTTTGGTTTTCATTTGTTTTGGCAGTTTATTCAAAGCAGCTGCTGTCGTCATTTTAATTACAATATACTTATTTATACCGACTCGCAGAGCGACAGAATTCATTCTTTCATTCCGCCACGCCCACCGAAAGTGAGCCTATGGCAAGGTTTGCCCAAGCTTTTTGGCTCATTTCCTTTCAGCATCTGGCACGCAATCAATTCCACTTTTGTTTGCCGTGCGCATGCTGATCGCACGTGCCAAGTTTTCCGGCATCGGGGCTTAGGAACTGTGGCTCTAAGTCAACGAAAGGCTTGAATTGTGCTCTGCGCCTACTGTGCCCGGCACGCACCATAGAAGCAGGCGGCAGCAAGAACTTGAACTCGAGCCATTGTCATTGCTATCGGCATTGACTTTGGTGTTTTACAGCCCGCCCAAATGGCAAATGGCAAATGGCAAATGACAAAAGGCATGATAAATATTCCAAGCAAATGCCACGTGCCAGTAATATGTGGTTATATTTAGAAGCCGCATTGCTGTGCTCAATGCTTAAAGAATTCGATACAATATTGCATTGCGCCCACTTTTCCTCGAATTTGCTACATCGTTTGCCTTTTTGTCTTTGCCAAACTCTTTATTTATGTATTTGACATTAGGGGGCGTGAGGGCCCGATAGACAGCCTCACACTGTCGTCACCTGCCTGCATATTCTTTCCATTCCTTTTTTTCGCAATTCCTCAATTCCAATCAGTTAGAATTTTTAAAACATTTTTTAGACTTTTTTCCGTTCAATGCATTTTTTCGGTCTGGTCACGAATCGACTTTTTGCGTATTTTAATTGAAACATTTGTCGACCTATTTGAACCAAGTCGACCAATTCTACGTTGCGTGCTCTTTAATTATATTAGCCAAGCTTCAAGCTACATCTCTGTATATATATACAATTGTTCAGCGACGTGCCGTGCATAACAAGAATCAAATAATTCCCATGGTCTGGGCAGATTCAGGCCCAAATCAGCGCAGCGTTGCATAAAACATACCAAAGATGCCCCTTCATTACCATAATCGCTTAACAAAGAATCGGTCGTGCTTCAAGATTGTGGCGAACAGAGCTGACGGCATTCGATGCCCTATTGGGCATTACTCATACGCACCGTTGCACCGTTGGCTGCTGCTTAAGCAAACAGATTTCTTGTAATTGCTTTCGCAATTCAATTATTTGCCACAAAGATTCAAAGAAAAGTTGAGAAAGGAAAGAAAAACATACACAACCATCAGTGTCAACAGCCAGCGCAAACAATTAAAATTCCAATACAAATAAAAAGCAAATGCAAATACAAATACAATTCAGTTACAATTCAGCGCGTGTTCGATTAAAAAAACAGCACAAATGAATGTTAAATAAACATTTACCTCCAATTAAAGCATCATTTAAAAAAAACTGCACTGCGTTTATAGCTTGACACAATTGAGAACACTTTTCATTGAATTCAGGGGCTTTAACACATTTAAATGAGAAATTGCTTTTCATTTATGTCCGTTTTTGCCATTTGTTGTTATTTGTTTTGCGTACAATTTATTGGCTTTAAAATCTGTTTGATAAAAACTCATTTAATGCGTATGCTTGTGGTCTTGCTGTTGTCCGAAAAGCTTACTTTAAGACAGATAATAGCAAAAATATATCGTGGCTTAAGAAAGATTTAAAATTAATTCAAAATCTGGCCTTAAATACAGCCTATGAAAAGCCAACAAGCCAGCAGCAGCAGCAGCAGCAGCATCAGCCCTTTGACAAATCCTTTATATATATGCAGTTGCTAAGGCCTTTGCGACCCTTTAAATGTTTGTATACAATTTGGGTACATTTACACTCTTCATGTCGCTCTTCGTGCCATTTGGGCAAAGCTAAAAGTCAAATAAGACGAGTGCTGAGTGCTCCAAATGCTGGGCGATAAATGTCAACGTTTTGCATAAATTGCATGTCGATTGCCAAGGAGACGAGTAGCGTTGGCCATCAGGCGCGCCAAACGCACTGATTGATTGATGGTTGGATAAATGCCTGATGTGCCGGCGAGCGCTGACTGACAGTTACATTTGGAACGTTTTTTGAGAGGTTTTTTTTAAGTGGTTCCCAGATTCAGATTCCCAGATTGACATTTCATTTGCGAAGCGTAAGCGTAATCAACTGAGCTGAGAAAATTGCAGCTGCTACCAAATCCCATCCTCTGCACCCCGGGCACTGTAAGCAACAGTTGTCAACAGTGTGCCCAATAACTAACATAAAATGTCGCCCGGAGCTGTAGTTTGTTGTTAGTGAAACTTTAGTGGCACGCAGAGCCACGTGAAATGCTCGCCACTCATAATACTCCCAGCAGCTCCTAGCCTCGGGCATTGAATTTATTTCGGTGTTTTTATGACTTTGCGCCTTAAAGTGTTTATTTCGTTTTACGACTTTCTACAAATTCGGTTGGCGCGTGTCCTTCTGTTGCCTACATTTTTTGGCCAGAGCGGAGCGTCGCTTGTATTACGTATACGCCACGTATAAGTCGCCCAGAAACGTTTTATTGCCGGAGTTGTGGGTCGTGCTAATTTATACATAGAAGCACCGGGCACCGTTTATTGCCCCGGGTCACGACTCAATGCTTCATAAAAGCACACTTTTAATCACAATTTTTGCTTATGCGCCTGGATTTTCGCTAAGCGTTTGATGGATGTCACAAATTTTGCATACATGTTCGAGCTAGATAAGGCCGCCTGCAGTACAGACGCCCGACCTATACCTTGACCTTGTGGCAGATGCTATAGGGCAGCTGCTCCATTGACTTGGCAATGCAGCTACTTTGACTTTTGACAAGGGCAATTCTGCGAATGCGCAATCTTTGGCATTTAGCAAAACTTAAAGCGCTTAAAGCTGCTACAGCAACTTTCCGTTTCCCACATAAAGTTTCGCTCGTTGT